GCCGCCGTCCCCCCGCCCGCGGCGTTTCCCGCGGTGCTGCCTGGAGCCCCGCGTCCGCTGGAGGCCGCACGGTTCCTTACCGCCGTGTGCTCTCTTCCTCGCTCAGGTGACCTTGTGTGGTGGTCGCCGGCAGATGCTCCTTTTGTTTTCTTCTGCCGGTCCTAGGGCTTGAACTCAGGACCTGGGCGCTGCCTCTTAGCTTTACCGCCTGAGTCACGTCTCCGCTTCCAGTTTTTTCGTGGTTTACTGGAGATAAGAGTCTCATGGATGTTCCTGCCCAGGCTGGCTTCGAACTTGACTCCCAGATCTCAGCCTCCTGAGTAGCTAGGATGACAGGCGTGAGCCACTGGCGCCCAGCGGTGGTTATATTCTTATATAGTTACCCGGTTGAGGCGCGCGCATGGGTAAGGGCCTCAGCACCATTTCCTCTTGGATAATAGGTGCATCTAAATCCTGGTTTCTTCTTTCTTGAATAGGGAGGTGCAGCTTCTTAGAAGACAGACAGAAACAACTCTGGACGGTTCTCTGCTAGAAAATCATCCTTGCTCAAAGTTTATAATTGCTATAGGAAATAATGCAGTAGGTAAGTTAAAATGCAGAAGACCAGACATTTAGACATTTAGTTAAAAGAAGTAACTTTTATTTTCCACTAGAGATTTTTAAAAGTCATGGTACAGAGCTGGGTGCCAGTAGCTCACACCTGCAATTCTAGCTACTCAGGATGAGATCTGAGGATCATGGTTCAAAGCCAGCGCGGGCAGGAAAGTCCATGAGACTCTTATCTCCAATGAACCACCAGAAAACCAGAAGTGGTGCTGTGGCTCAAGTAGTAGAGCGCTAGCCTTGAGCTGAAGAGCTGAGGGACAGAGCCCAGGCCCAGAGTTCAGGCTCCACAACCGACCAAAAAAAAAAAGTCATGGTACAGTAACTTTTTAAGTAGGATACATTGCCTTCTCATGTTCACCACCATATTTCTTAAGGTTTATGGAGTTTGAACTTATACTTGGGCCATGTCCTGTGCATTCTTGCTTTCTCTCTCTCTCTCCTACTCTCCCACTCTCTTGCTGTCTCTCACTCTCTGCCAGTCCTGGGGCTTGAACTCAGGGCCTGGTCACTGTCCCTGAGCTTTTGCTCAAGATTAGCACTCTACCACTTGAGCCACAGCACCACGTCTGGCCTTTTTTTTTTTTGTCGGTCGTGGGGCTTGAACTCTGGGCCTGGGCGCTGTCCCTCAGCTCTTCAGCTCAAGGCGAGCGCTCTACCACTTGAGCTACAGCGCCACTTCTGGTTTTCTGGTGGTTTATTGGAGATAGGAGTCTCATGGTCTCTCCTACCGGGGCTGGCTTTGAACCGCGATCCTCAGATCTCAGCCTCCTGAGTAGCTAGGATTACAGGCGTGAGCCACCAGCGCCCGGCTTACGTCTGGCCTTTTCTGTTTAGTACTGAGGAATCGAACCCAGGGCTTCATGCATGCTAGGCAAGCACTCTACTACTAAGCCACCTTCCCAGCCCTGTCCTACTCTTTTAACTCTCTTTTTGTGCTGGTGCTAGGGCTTGAACTCGTACTTTTTTTCTTTTTCTCTCTCAAGGCTGGTGCTCTACTTGTAGTTATTTTTTTTGCTGCTAGGGTAGACCAAGCCTGATGGAAGGAAAGAAGAAGATAGAGCGGTGATGTATCCATCACCGCACAGGGACTCCAAGTATCGCCAGGCAGAGTCAGAGAAACAGGAGCAGGGAATGTGGGGGTTTTAGGATTTGAATATAGTTGAGCGTAAGAGTTTTTTGGAATGTCTTTGTGGTTGTAGCAGACCATCCTGTTTTGGATTTGTGATGTCCTGGCACCTATAGCAGATGGTACACTTTCAGATAAGGCTGGGGGGGGTTTTGCTGAGATTAGTTCAAGGATAGGGATTCTGATAATCTCCTTCAGGGAAGAGATTTTTGGGGGTGGGGTCCCCTGGGAGGGTGGTCTGTGGGCCATAGAAATGACATTAACTTATGAGAATCAAGAAGATTCCCCTCATTTGCTGGTTAATGGAAGGTAAGAGTGCCATGTACTTTTCTTCCTGTTGTTGCTTTGAATTGGAATCATACCATCTCTCTCCCAAAGCTAGGAGTACAAGTGTGAACCACTGGCACTGGCAGGGGCCCTTCCCCACTGTCTTAAATACAAGATAAAAATAAGATTTATCCTGTCATGGCTGGCTCACGCCTGTAATCCTAGCTAATCAGGAGACTGAGATCTGAGGGTCATGATTCAGAGCCAGCCCAGATAGATAAGTCTGTGAGACTCTAGCTCCAAAAAAAAAAAGCCAGAAAAAGCCAGAAGTGGTGTTGTGGCTAGCCTTATCCCAGAGAGGCTCAGGGACAGAGCCCAAGCCGAGTTCAAGCCCCAGGACTGGCAAAACAACAAAAAAGAGTTAGAGAAAATAGTTTTGGCTTTAGGAAATGACAGTTCAAGGAATGATTTCTAGTATGCTGAGGTTTACTTAAGTGTTACTGCAAACATAGTGAGAACTCCACTCCTTTTCTCTTGGTGTGAATAGTCTTGGTTGGTGGTTTAAGCTAGAAGACTCTAGAGGTTAGAGCATTATCCATGATGCATATGCCCATGGATCTTTATCACTTTAGAGGGTTCATAGGCTCTGAGGAGAGCACTGAGGCACCCAACTTGAGATCCCTTGCCATATAAGGGACCTCAAGTACTTGCACAGTGTAGTGTGTGGTAGATAACTTTTCCCTAACTTACATGAACTTCTGCTGGCCTAACATTGATCCAAAGAGTAGGAGGTGTGTGGACCCGCGCTGGGGTGATGTTGTCTTCCGTGTGCAGTGGCCTTTCTTCCTTGCACTATGGCCTGTCACTTCTTATGGGCCTCTGTTTCTTGTCCTGCAAAGTGGTCTTAGGTGGTCCCTAGTGGCTGTTTTAGCTCTGAAATTCTAGAGTACCCAGAACTTCTTTACTGGCTTGGAGCTAAGCACTCACGCACCCGAATTTTTTCTTCACAGCATTTTTGTCATCATTCGTTATGAACTCAGGAGGCTGGGAAGAAGTTGGTTGTACTAAACTCTGGAATGAGTGGTGCAGGGCAGCCGACAGTCTACATCTGTGCCCCACAGACGCTCTCTGTGTGTTCTATCAACTGAAGTCCGATCCCTCGGTACGTGGGGCTTCAGGACTTGCCTGGGCTCTGGGTCTCTCAGTGGCTCTCTTAATGTGTTCTTCATTCTGATTGTCATTTCCAGTAAGAGATTAATTTAGATTTCAAAGAAGGATCTATATGCCAGCAGCAGAGTTGAGAAAATGAGTGTTGTTCAAGTGTGCGTTAGTCATCTTTCTGCCACTGTAACAAATAGGCGAGGTTCTGGGTCCATGGCTGGGCCTCCCTCTTGCTGTCAGGCTTCTGGTAGGATCCGCATGTCTCATCAGGAGTGTGTGGGTAGCAAAGGCACTCATCTCATGGCCAGGAAGCAAAGTGAGGATGAGGAAGTGGTGGGGTGATCCCATGACCTCGTAAAGGACATACCCCGAGGACCTCAAGGCGCTTAGCACCATTTGGGGGTTGGGGATGGACACTTGGGGAACACCGGGGCCTTTGGGGGGCATTCCAGATCCAGACTAGCGGTGCTCATTACTAGTCACATGGTACCTATGCGGTGGTAATTTGGGGTGTACGCACAATGTATTGTACTTACAAAAATGCTGGACTTTGACTTCTCAGATCCTCATCTGCCAGTGTAGTTGCTATGTTGCTGAAGATCAACAGTATCAGTGGCTGGAGAAGGTAAGAGAAATAGAACCATGTTGCTTAGACTGCAGGGAGTCGCTGCTTCTCCAGGGTCAGTATCTTTTCACTGTAACCTGTGTAGGCAGCAAGTACAGGGATTACTTACAGACTGTAGGAAATAAAAGAGACATAGAAGGGTGTCACTGAACTGACGAGGGGTGGGGGTGGCACAGGCAGTGGGCATGGGGAGGAGAGATGTGGAAGGCTGACCATTTGCTGCCACCCACTCCAGACCCAAAGTGCTGCATCTGGTTTTCTTCACATTAGGCCTGAATATTGAGTCTTCATTCATGGAAGATAAAATTGCTCTAACACGTGAGCTCCGTGGCGTGGGTCAGGGGAAGCCAATGGTTGAGTCAAGAACTGAATTCCAACAGGATGTTTAGTGGGGAAACACAGTCGGCCAGCTGTGTATGTTACTTTGAGTTTTTGTCCTCTGAAATACCAGACTGCTTTAGATTTCTTTTTTTTTTTTTTTCCCGGTCATGGGGCCTGAACTCTGGGCCTGGGTGCTGTCCCTCAGCTCTTCAGCTCAAGGCGAGCGCTCTACCTCTTGAACCACAGCGCCACTTCCAGCTTTTTCTGCTTATGTGGTGCTGAGGCATCAAACTCAGGGCCTCATGCATGCAAGGCAAGCACTCTACCACTGAGCCACCTTCCCAGCCCCGAGATTTCAAGTTTTTTAAAAATAGTTTTTGAATATGTATATGTATGTAATGACATTTTTTAGGAACTTTAAACACAAATTCATTTGTCTCATATACAGCTTGTTAAATACCTTAAAGGAATTTCCCACTTTGGGATGTGGGAACATTTCAGATTTTGATTTGTAGTTTACAGGTTTTGAGGTTACATGTATGTCTGTGTGTGACTATGTGTAGAATGCACACATGCACGTATGAGATGCAGATATATAAATAATATAGTTTGATTTGTAATAGAGACAGAATTGTCTGCTTATGGGTACAGTGTGATTGCTCAGTCCACATGTGCAATGTGTGGTGGTCAAATCAGGTACCTGACAAAATCTTCACTGGACACATTTATCATGTTTGTGTTCAACTGTGTTTGTTAATGATACAGGCCTGAAGGCCTCATATGCTCCCTGAGCACACTTCAGCTTAAGTTATAGTATTTTAACACTGATATTAAAGTTAAACTCATTAGAAATTTGATGTATACATTTTTTGAAATAGTTGGCTTTTCAAGACTCATCAAAAATTAGCAAATGCAATTCTCTTTTTTTTTGGGGGGGGGTGTCAGTCATGGGGCTTAAACTCTGGGCCTGAGTGCTGTCCCTGAGCTCTTCAGCTCAAGGCTAGCGCTCTACCAATTGAACTACAGTGCCACTTCCAGTTTTCTAGTGGTTTATTGAAGATAAGAGTTTCACGGACTTTCCTGCCCGGCTGGCTTTGAACCTGGATCCTCAGATCTCAGCCTCCTGAGTAGCTAGGATTACAGGTGTGAGCCACCGGCGCCCAGCAAATACAATTCTTCTAATGAAGTGTTGTAAATATATGTGTGATTTTATAGTTAAAGTAGGTATGTATATTTTTCTGGGGAAGATCAGAATGTGGTAGGAAATAGCTATCTTTCTTTGCACTGTAAAATTATACAGGGTAAGTCGGACGTCTGGCTCACGCCTGTAATCCTAGCTACTCAGGAGGCTGAGAATGGAGAATTTTGATTTAAAGCCAGCTAGGGCAGGAAAGTCCATGAGTCTTTTAACTCCAATGAACTATTCAAAAAAAAGCCAAAAGTGGTGCTCTGGTTCAAGTGGTAGAGTGCTGGCCTTGAGCAGAAAAGCTCAGGGACAGTGCCTAAGACCTGAGTTCAAGCCTTACAACCAGCAAAGAAAGAGAGAGGGATCTTTGTATATCTATCAGGTTCACACGCTTCAAGTGATAGAGGGAACACTGAGGTCTAGTGATTGAAACGGGCCTACAGTGCTGTAATTGAGAAAGTGACCTTTTGCAAGAATCATTTGTCAGGTACCATTTGTGGTGGGGAAGAAATGGGCATGGCTGTGTGCTGCCTGAGACTCCTTTGCTGTGGATGGCGGTCGTGTGGCATGCTCAGCATCTGACTGTGGACTCATCACAGCTGCACTTAATGTGTCTGTCGATCTAAGTAGCACTGTCCTTAGGTCCGAGACAAGGAAGTGACTTAGAAAGCAGGGTCCACGCTGCCGCCAGATCAGGGCAGCAAAGCCTGCAGCTTCCAGTGCACGTTGCACCCCTCTAGATGAGAGGTGTGACTGTTGTGGGAGCTGAGAGCCAGAGCAGTGTTTTCATTCCGTAACAGGATTATGGGTTGATTTTGTTGTTCTTGTTCCTTTCTGTATTTTAACAGTTCTGGGGTTTGAACTCAGGACCTTGGGTGTTACTCTACCACAGAAGCCACACCCACAGCCCGTCCCCTCCCTTTTCACTTTATCTCTGAGTTGCCAGGGGCTGGCCTTGAAATTTAATCCCCCCATGTAGCTGATTATAGATATGGGCTACCATGCTTGATTTTTATTTTTATTGTGTGTGTGGGTTCCCTCCCACCCCATATTGGGGTGTGAAGTCAAGGGGCTTTTTGCTTGCTAGGCAGGTACTCTATTGCTCCAGCCACACCTTCAAGCCCTTAAAATAATTTTTTTAGTGGTACTTTGGTTTGAACGCCAGGCTTTTGTTAATTAGGTGGGTATTCCACTACTTGAGCCATACCAAATCCCTCTCCCCACTTTAGCTATTTTTCAGACACATTCTTCCATTCCTGCCTTGCCAGCAACTGGCTTCAGACTTCATTCCGCCTATTAATGTCCTTCCACATAGCAGAGGTTACATCGGTGTGCCACCATGTACCTGTGTATTGGTTGTGATGGGGTCATGCTCACCTGCCTGGCCTGGCTGAAAACCTCCTCTTCTCCTTCTCTACATGTCAAGTAGCTGGAATTATAAGTGTGAACCACTGAGTCCAGCCCAGCTTGTTTTTGAGTCAGGATCTTGCTAACTTTTTTTTGTCTGGGTTGGCCTTAGACATCGATCCTCTCATTTCTGCCTCCTAAGTTGGGATTGCGGGCATTGACCACTATGCCATCCCTCCAAATTATGTTTGTATAATTTGAAATCAATTTTGTGTTAGGTTTTTGGCTCTTCTCCAAGGAAGAACATGCAGATAACTATTCTCACATGTCGACATGTCACCGACTATAAAACCTCAGAATCTACTGGCAGCCTTCCTACTCCTTTCTTGAGAGCCCTAAAAACACAGCATTTCAAAGACTCTGCTTGTTGCTCACTTCTGGAACAACCAAATATTGCACACGGTCTTCCTGCAGCAGGTGGTATTTAGTTTTGTACTTTACACTGTGGGTCAGCGCCTGTTGACAGCTATCACTGTCACTACCAGAGCTCTTCTGGAAGGTGCTTGTTCAGAATGTTGGCATTGACACCAGTATATTGCTCTTAATCCTCAGTGTCTGTTGTACAAGATAATTTGATTTGGATTTTTAAATTTTCTGGAACAAGGTATCTGACACGAGCAGCTCAGAGCTCCTGACTAATTCAGTCTTGCTGCTTCCTTTTGGTCTGTGGTAACTCAGTGCAACCCAGATAGGTATAAAATTACTGGTGTATGAAAGTTAATTTATCAAAACAAAGTTTGGGGAGCTGAAACTTGGTAGTTGCTTTCATTTTTTTTTTAAGGAGTTGAGTGTTTTCTATTGTGTCACTAATGATGATATAATGCCATCATGTCAGCAATAGATAACCAGTTATTTTCAGTAGTTTATATTTTACAATATACAGTTATTTGTTATATGTATTATTTTTAGGTAGAAAGCTTTAGTATTTTTGAGACAGATTATTATTTGTTGTTGAGACATACTGTGTAGCCCAGACTGCCCTTGAACTCGATCCTCTTGTCTTAGCTTCATGAATGCTGAGATCAGAGGTAATGCTTCACATGCCTAGCACCACAATGGTGGTTTTTTTCTTTTTTTCCCCCCTTTTCATCTTAAGTTTATTGGAACAAATGACTAAATAGCTTGTAGCATGCACTCTATGTTATTTGTGTGTAGCTTACATCATTTATTGTAGTTAGTAAGATTGTGCTCCTCGATTTTCTTAGAATTGTCAATATGTTCAGGAAATGCAAAATAAGTATTTGCAAAAGCTTATTAGGAAAGTTTTTTGTTTTGGAAGAAGATATTCATTATAATTAGTTTAACTTGGCAGTAAATGCCTTCATCAAAAGAGGCCACGGACATGCCTTTTTAAAGTAGTCTATACTACGTAGAGTGTTTAGTTTAAAAGTCATGCACTAGACAGCTGGTGACCTTTTCCTTGTGTGTTTCTAGTGCTGAGTTACTGTCAGGTGTGGAAAATCCCCGCGGTTCTGTACTTGTGTTACACGGATGTGATGAAACCAGACATCGTTACAATTGAAGCTTTCAAGCCCATACTGTCTTCCATGAGCTTCAAAGACCTGGTCACGGTACGGTTTTAGTTCATTGGAATTAACAGTCAAATTGTTAGGGGTTGCTAAGTGGCTGCGGGACAACTTAACCCCTAAGCTGCACATGAGAATCCTCACTGCTCAAGGCCCAGTTTCCAGTCTGGCAGCTTCTGGTGTGGCTGTTTCCCAGAAGGTAGCTTCCCACATGGCAGCTTCTGGTGCAGCAGCTTCTGGTGTGGCAGCTGGCATCAGACTGCCCCTTCTCTTCTGGATGCACTTGTTTATCTTTTTTGTTGTTGTTGTTGCCAGTCCTAGAGCTCAAACTTTGGGCTTGGGCTGTCTCTCAGCTCCATTTTGCTCAAGGCTAACTCTACCACTTGAACCACAGTGCCACTTTCAGCTTTTTCTGTGATTAATTGGAGATAAAGAGTCTAATGGATTTTTCTGCCCAGGCTGGCTTCGAACCACAATCCTCAGATTGCAGCCTCCTGAGTAGTTAGGATTACAGGTGTGAGCCACCAGCGCCCAGCTTACTTGCGTGTCTTGATGAATGTTTTCTTCTTCTGTAGAGACTGCATGCTTTGAAGGTAGTGATTTGTGGCAGGAGAGATGGTTGTTCTGAAGCGAGCTGATTTTTGTTGTTTGCCTCTTTTTATAAGCTTACATTTGTTAAATGGAGGCAAGTTTATTGTTGTCTCCACACATTTGTAAAATGGTCCAGTCTTCTTGCCCCGCTCCCCTTCTCAGTCAATTTCAACAGGCTTTCTTATTGTACTTCTGTAGTTGCAAATCCATGTCAACCATGTTCAACCTCCATCCTCCTTGTTAGCCCAAACTCCCTTGCAGTCTACTTTTTATTTTTTTTTAGGATGGAGTTTCATTATGTGGCCTCACCCAGGCTGGCCTTAAACTCATTAGGTAGCTCAGGCTTGCCTCCAACTTTTGATGCTTCTGTCTGTCTTGTGGGTGGTAGGATGATAGGTGCACTACCTAGCCTGGCTAAGTACTGTTTTCTTGGTGACCAGATGCAGTCAGCCTGACTTAGACCCTGGTTTCTGTCTGATGAGAGTGGGGTTTTGGAACAGTTGCTATCAAGTTGTTCTGAGCCCCTGCTGTGGTCACCCAAGGGGTTCCTCAGAGCTGAAGTGGTTCCTCAGTCAGGAGGGGTGCTGGTGAGACACTGAGCACCCCAGGAAAGGCAAAATGTGGGGTCCTGGGAGAGAGCAGTCCTGCAGTAGGTGATGGATTTAGTGTGGGTTGGGGCTGCAGTGAGGAGCTAGGGAGCAGAGCATGCCAGGCAGGAGGCAGTGGGGGGAGATGTGGGGAGTCCACTGGGGTCACTGCGTTTGGGTGCCCTTCTCCTTTTCCCCTTTCCCTTGAACGAGGTGGAGAAAGGCAGTCTTTGTTGGCTTGATACCATGTTTCTTAATCGGCAGCATGGTGAGAGAACACATACTGCCTCCAACCAAAATCTTCACATCTTTGTCTCTCCTTCCAGGCTGTGCCCCGACGCTCAGAGATTCTGAAGAAATTGACTTCAAGTGAGACTCAGAGTAACATTTACACGTGACCCTGGAGTGCTGTCCACTCTGTCCAGTGCTTTAAGGGCAGCAGCTGGAACTGTTTTGTGTCTTATGGGGGGTGGGGTGGGGAATGACTGTTTTGAGGGTGATAAAGCAAAATAAAAAGTGTAATTGTAATCCCTTCTTTATGCTGATGCTCACTGCTGTAGTAAGACTCACTTATTCTTCCTCTATCCACTAGGTGGGAGTGTTGCCTTGAGTTTTTAAGCTAATACAATTCTGAGAAGCTTTGGACGGCCACAGGTTGTTTTAAGTGGCCCAGTGTAGTTAGACACAAGAAGTGCCTAGAGATGTCTGAAGTTGGGGATGCTCTCCCACCTGAGTTATGCTTCAAGCTCTGTGGATTTTTAGTTGTGTTTTCAGGTAGGATCACGCTGACTTTTTGCCTGGGTTGGCTTTGAACTGCTCTCAGTCTTCATCTCCTAAGTGGATAACAGGTGTGAGCTACCACACCTGGCTTAAATGTTGGTGATTTGTTGTTGTTGTTTCCTTGGGTAGTACTGATGTTTGAATTCAAAGCTGCAGGCGGCGTGCTAGGCTGGTGCTCCACTGTTGGGCCATGCCTCCAGGTGATTAGAAAGACTGCATAGTTTGAGATCTATATTGTTTTTGTTGATTTGTTTTGCAGCTGAAAATCTGTAAGGTAACAGAATTACATACATATTCAAAATGAAGCAAAAAAAAAAAGGCGTGCCTGCTTGACAGCTTGCCTCCATGCGCCCGCCCTCTCCCAGGCTCTCCATGAGGTGCTGTGTGAGTGCCAGCTCTGCATTCTGTGACACCACTGGGAAGGGACTTGTTCTGGGGACCAATCACACCTGACTGAGTTGTGAAGGTTAAATTGAAAACGATAGAGGTGAAAAAATGCTTCTGGTCACCTGTTTTCCACCCTTTTTCATTATTGAACCCTCCATCTGATTGCTGTAGGCCGTTTTCTAGGTTCAGTTGGTTGACTGGCCTTGGCGTTGGTTGGAGGGGGCTAGAATGTACTGTTTTCTAACTTCTGTTTCCTCGGCATATCAGGTTTTGGAGATCTTGTGCTTGGTGCATTTGTGCACATACCCTGATGGTACAAAGGGAAGCATTTCCTCCATTCCTGAACAGTTTTTATCCATTCAGATGTGTGTGTGTGTGTGTGTGTGTGTGTGTGTGTGTGTGTGTGTGTGTGTGTGTG